CCAGCAGATGCACGAGGGGAAGAAGAAGCCCCACCAGTGCTCCTCCTGCCCCAAGACCTTCCGGGATAAGTCTCACCTGATCCGCCACGAGAGGATCCACATGGGGGAGAAGCCCTTCCGCTGCGCCGCCTGCGGCAAGAGCTTCAGCTGCAACTCCTACCTGGTGGTGCACGAGAGGATCCACACGGGTGAGAAGCCGTACGCCTGCGGCGCCTGCGGCAAGAGCTTCAGCTGCAACTCGTACCTCCTGCGCCACCTGCGCATGCACACGGGCGACCGGCCCTATAAGTGCACCGCGTGCGGGAAGCGCTTCGCCTGCAGCTCCAACCTCATACTTCACAGGCGGACCCACACGGGCGAGAGGCCCTACGAGTGCGCCTCCTGCCCCAAGACTTTCCGCCAGAGGTCTCACCTGATCTTCCACGAGAGGATCCACACCAAGGAGAAGCCCTTCCAGTGCCTCGCCTGCGGGAAGAGCTTCGGGCGCAACGCGCAGCTGGCGCAGCACAAGAGGAGCCACACGGGGGAGAAGCTCCACAAGTGCTCCGTCTGCGCCAAGCGCTTCAGCTGCGTCTCCTACCTCATCCAGCACGCGAGGATCCACCAGCGGGACAAGCCCCACAAGTGCCCTGACTGCGGGAAGAGCTTCCGACGGAGCGCCGAGCTCGCCTCGCACCGCAGGATTCACACAGGGGAGAAGCCGTACCGCTGCTTCGAGTGCGGGAAGACCTTTGGCTGGAGCGCGGGCCTCACCTCGCACCGGCGGACCCACACGGGCGAGAAGCCCCACAAATGCGTGGCCTGCGGGAAATGCTTCAGCCGCAAGCGGCTCCTCCTCACACACAGCAGAGTCCACGTCGGGGAGAAGCCCCATGAGCGCTCTTGACTGCGGGGAGAGCTTTGTTTTGAACTCGCATCTCGTGAGAAAAACCCATGCAGAGGAAGCTGTGTAAACTGGTGCTGGCCTGCTCGTCGTTGCGGGGGTCTCCCACTGGTTGCCGTCGCTCGGAGGAGAAACCTTGCCTCGGTTGCTCTTAGGGGTTTGCTGGTTAATCAGAACTCTCCCTGGAATGAACGGAGGAAAAGCACCACAGGAACCTTACTTCGGGTTTTGCCACATGCGCAGATGCACAAAATGACGTCACGCGCATGCGCGGAAGCAGCAAAATGCAACCTGTGCACGCACAGACGCATCTTTCGTTTTACTCAGGATGTGAACGGGGCTCCGGAACGGATCATGTTCGCATCCAGAGGTACCACTGTACAGTTGTACCTTGGAAGTTGAACGGAATCCGTTCCGGAAGTCTGTTCGACTTCCAAAATGTTTGGAAACCAAAGTGCGGCTTCCGATTCGGAAGCCCCGTCGGATGTTCGACTTCCAAAAATTGTCTGCAAACCAGAACAGTCACTTCCGGATTTGCGGTGTCCAGGAGCCAAAACATTCGAGAACTAAGCTGTTTGAAAACGAAGGCACGGCGGATTATTATCATGATCATCATTAAATTAAATTGAAATTTAATAAATCATTAAATTTATTACCTACCCTTTGCCAGCAGGTCCAAGTGTGGGTTACAACAATTAAAAATTCAAACGTTCCTCTTTTCCCAGGCCTTTGGTTAATTAACCTGTCTTTGAAACTGTGTGTGTGTGTGTGTTTCGGGGTGGGGGTTATTGTTTTGTTTGTTATTACGTTATGTTTTTTTGTGTTTTTATACTGTAAACTTGTGATCCTCCGATGAAGGACGCTATATAAATTTAATAAATAATTTTTAGAAAAAACAAAACTGGATTACAATCGCAAGAATGGGGTATGGCCTTCAAACATTCCTCTCAGGTACCAGAGGGGTACAGGGTAAAGAGGAGATGGTGACACCAGGGAGGAGTTGTTCTGTGTGCCCCAAAGCTAAGCCTTATCAGCTGAGATATCTCAGCATGAGACTCTTAATCTCAGGGTTTGAGCTACATGTTGGGCAAAAGTTTCCTGCCTTGCAGGGGGTTGGGACTAGGTGAACACTGTGGTCCCTGCCAACTGTACGATTCTGTGATTTAGGAACACTGAAAACTTCCGTTTCAAAAAATGGTGTGCAAGCACTTTTACGTGCAGTGTAGATGCACAGAAAACAATTTAAGTCCCTCTGAAAGAAGATATCAGAGCACTCCAGATCATTTGCTTGGGTATACAGTCATACCTTGGAAATCGAACAGAATCTGTTCCGGAAGTCTGTCCGACTTCCAAAACGTTCAGAAACCAAGGCATGGCTTCCGATTCAATCGGAAGCCACGGAAGCCGCATTGGACGTTTGGGTTCCAAAAGAGCATTTGCAAACCGGAAAACTCATTTCCGGGTTTGCAGTGTTTGGGAGCCAAAACGTTCGACTTGCAAGGCATTCGACTTCCAAGGTACGACTGTATGTGCGATACAAGAGATACAAAAAATTAACAGCAACACACTCCCCACAATACAAACCCCACTAAACAGTACCCCCGGTTCAAGAGTCTGTTTGGCAGCCTCCGCTTTTGCAGCTGGAGTCAGTCCGGGGCCTGCCCTCTCAGAGCAGGTGGGAAAAGACCTTCAAGGCAGGGAGCAGCTTTTCCAGGACGTGCAGACAATGAGGGGAACTCAGGCGGCAGTATGTCTTGAGCAATACTGAGATAGATGGATCTGACTCTGTTTAAGGCATCTTCCCATTTTCCTACTGTTCCCTCTTCAGAAAGCTTGTTTTTAAGAACATAAGAAGTTCCCACCCTGTTCTCACAGTGGCTGTGCTGATGTAAAAAATTGGGGTTTGGCATTTGCTGCCCAACTCCCCAAGGGACTTTTGAGTCCCCTAAATCCATGATTGGTCAGAGAAGTGTAATAAACGAAAATCTGCCCTTAATCCCTTATGGGGAACACAAGAGCCCTTATAGAGTCCTTTGTAGGTTCTCCATCGGTCGGAGAAAAGAACAGAGACCAACCAGAGGACATTGAGAAGCAAAGCAGCTCGTAAGCCTGATCTTTATTGAACTGTTGCAACAGGGTGCTCCCCTTACACGCAGGAAAGGAGGAGGACCAAGAACCCAGGTGTGCCCGCCCTTATATAGACATTTTAAATTGCCCGCCCTGGAGTCCAAGACCAGAAACATACATGCCAGAAACATCATACATACATCACAGAAAGGGTGGTCTACAGCAGAAATCTGAGTGCGTTGTTTATCTCTTGTCGTTTATCTCCTGTCTGGCAGGTTACCTGTTAATGCTTACCCTGGGGAGCCTGGCCAGTCTTTTGCAGTGTCAAATACCCAGTTCCTGAGCCAGGCCACAGGCTCACCCCATTCGTACACAGATATACCCTCAAGACAGGATTTGTGAATGAAAAGACAACGGGGAGGCTTTTCCATTTTCCTTTGACCTTGCAGAGAAAACATTTGGTCAGTTTGGGAGCCAAAATGGCTCCAGGACTGCCCTCCTGCACTGCTTCAGACATATGGTTCACATATTTATGTACGTGTTTGCTTGGTACATTTATGAACATTTATTATATATATAAGACCTTAATTTATTTATTTCAGAAGAATGGATGGAGGAGGCAGGAGGCAGTGAAAAAGCAAGGCTGATCTTTATTTTTCTGTTGCAACAGAGTTCCCTCCCCTCCTTGCAAGGACGTAGGAGAGACCCCGAACAAACAAATATAGACTTGAAATTAGCCTAAGACCACCCCAAAAACATCATACATCTCCCACAGAAATTTGAGCATGAGGCTTCGCTCCTGTCTGCCTGGATATCTGAAAATGGATTTCCTGGGCGAGATGGTAAATACTTTAGTTTCTAAATTCTTTACTTACAAACTTAACACCTATTGACAGCTTAACAGAAACTTAGCGGGGATTTGCAATTGAAAAGACAATGGGGAAGCTCTCCCCATCTCCTTCCCCCAACTGCAAATGAATATTTGAGGTCATTTTGGAAGAGTCAAAATGGCTTTTTGGGATTGTTCTGTGTGCTAAAATAAAGTATCATTTCTCTCAAGGTATTTTCCTCTGTGTGCAACTTCAATTTTACAACAGTGCCCATGGGGAACATGCAAGTAGGACCCGAGAAAAGTACCATTTTCTCCCCTCTTGCAGCTCCCAGAATTGAAAAGCATTACGGCCTCTTGACCATGGCTAGAAGCCATTGATAGCCATTGATAGCCTCAACCTCCAAGACCAATCTTTTAAAGCCATGTTTGGGAACTTGTCTCATGTAATTATTCACTGTGTGAAGAAGCATTTTCTTTCGCCTCCTGTGGCAGAAAGTTCCATAATCAGTTTTGCTCTGCTGTCCTGGAAAGAAGACTGTTCCTTTGGCCTATCCCGAATCTTCCAAAATTCAGCTTCCTTTGATGTCCACAGGTTCTCACGTTAAGAGAGAGGGGGGGGGGACATTTCTCCATCCATCCGCTTTCTTCGATCAAGGGAGGATTTGTGGAATATGAAAACTTGCTCACTACTCAGAAAAAAAACCTTTTTATTGGTCCTAACAAAAAGTATCATTATCTTTTAAAATTTTTATTATTACATTCTAACCCTTACCCATGCTTCAACACAAAGGGAGGAAACGGAGCAATGCGAAAACAAAATTATAAGTGAAAAAGGGTTTGCAATTATAAGAAAAGGGTGGGTAAAATAAAATAAAATTTAAAAAATGAAATGAACACCCTTTTATCTCAGGTGTCAGAGTACAGGATAAAAAGATGCTTCTTCAGCCTATGATGAAAGCTATACAGTACAATTAAGGTGCTAGAGGAAACACTGTCCCTGTGTGTAAAAGGGGATTGTCCCACTGCCTATGGAGGAGTTAAAACGAGAGAGTTCCTTGGAGGACCCTCCAGCTTCCTAGAAAGGAGGAAACGGAAGTGGTGAAAACATAACCCAGGATGTAAACACTGGAAAGCCCTGTTTCCTGTTCCATCCTCTTTCCCCCTCCCCCGGAAACCGATTCTCTTTTTTTGGTGTGGGGCTATGCCTTTAGGTGAGGTTATCATTACACAATCTCTTCGTTTTGTTGTTGGGGCTGGAGCTCCTGAAGGAGAAGCCCGATTCTGGGAAGAGAAGGAGAGCAGACCAGGTCAAAGTGGGGAGGGGGAGGAATTGCACCTGCAAAGGAGGTGCAGCAGGTGAGAGGTGGTGAAGCCCAGGCTGGGCTGCAGAGTTCCTGAGACACCCTCTCCTGCTGACTGACGTGGGTCTTGCACGATGGAATGCTTCCTAGTGGTCGATAATGCCTTGCACCTAGAAAGCTAGTAGCTCAGGGTTCTAGCCTCCACCTCCTCCCTGATCTATTATTTGCTTTGCATAAGACCCCAGGCTCATTCTCCATCCCGGTTGCCCACTGAAGGGTAAGATGTGAAGGGGATAAGCTCAGAGTGATTTGCAGCAAAAAGGGGGCTTTGCATGCAGAAGTTCCCGGAATCAGTCTCCCGCTACGTTTGTAATCTTGCTGTATGCAGCCGTGATTATTTTATGAGAGGGCAGTATATCAGTGCAGACATCTATCTGTCTGTCTGTCTATCTATCTATCTATCTATCTATCTATCTATCTATCATCTATCTATCTGTCTGTCTGTCTATGTCTTTAGCACCCCCAGGTAGGGTTGGGAATGTCCCCTGCCTGAAATGACTTTGCCCATTATTGTACACAGTACTTGGCTGGGCGGGTCTGACAGTAGGGAGCCGCTTCCGATATTCCTGCATGCATTGGACTGCCATATGTCTTGAATTTCCCGGACATAGGTGGTATTCTGCCCTCGTAAACAATGTCCGGGCATAAAATCACTGAACTGTCCAGGAAAATGGAAAAAGCTCAACTTTTGTGTCCAGATTTTCACTTTTTGAAATACGGCAGCCATGCCAGCATGGTGTAGTGGTTAAGAGCGGTGGACTCGTAATCTGGTGAACCGGGTTCGATTCCCTGCTCCTCCGCATGCAGCTGCTGGGTGACCTTGGGCCAGTCACACTTCTTTGAAGTCTCTCAGCCCCACTCACCTCACAGAGTGTTTGTTGTGGGGGAGGAAGGGGAAGGAGATTGTTGGCCACTTTGAGACTCCTTAAAGGGAGTGAAAGGCGGGATATCAAGTCCAAACTCTTCTGCGCATGCAGATATTCCCGTTGCCACCATATGGTGTTGGGGGCACGTTCAGTGACCCGAGTTTCCATCTTCAGGTTATAAACCAGAATAGCAGTAGCAATGGCATTCCTTCTTCTTCTTTTTGTAAAGGTTGCAGACTTCAGGTGTGTGTTTGCTTTGTTTGTTATTGAGGTGTATGGATTTCTAAGCTATAAGGCTCTATGTGTGATGCAGGGACTCCCATCCTCTCATGGTGGGGTGGGGGGCATTTGGTTATGTTACCCTTACCCTGCAGGTCTCATTCTCAATGAGAAGATAAATCCGTGGCCACAGTGTGGCGTTTGTGGTTAGAGTGCTGGGCCAGGAGCTGGGACATGGGTTCAAATCCCCTATTGGCTGTGAAGCTCACTGTGACTTTGAGGGCCAGTCGCCTGCCTTTCGGCCTAACCAACCTTATATGTTAAAGGTAAAGGGACCCCTGACCATTAGGTCTAGTCGTGGATGATTCTGGGGTTGTGGCGCTCATCTCGCTTTATTGGTCAAGGGAGCCGGCATACAGCTTCCGGGTCATGTGGCCAGCATGACTAAGCCGCTTCTGGCGAACCAGAGCAGCGCATGGAAACGCCGTTTACCTTCCCGTCGGAGCGGTACCTATTTATCTACTTGCACTTTTGATGTGCTTTCGAACTGCTAGGTTGGCAGGAGCAGGGACTGAGCAACGGGAGCTCACCCCATCTCGGGGATTCGAACCGCCGACCTTCTGATCGGCAAGTCCTAGGTTCTGTGGTTTAACCCACAGTGCCACCCACTTCCCTAACCTTATATGAGGAAGAAGCAAAACATCTGTGCCACCTTGATCTCCTTGGAGGAAAAAGATGGGATATAAATGAAATAAATAAATAAATAAGAAAGAAAATAAGCTGGCATAAAATGTTTGCTGATGATCTTGAAACAAATGTTTATTTGTGTTCCTTTCTTCCTCTCCCTACCCTCTGAAGAAGAAATCCCTTTCCTGGGCATCTACGGAAATATTCGGAGACTGTCAGTGTCCTGCGGAGGAATTGCCACCAGCCTGCAGATGGAAGACCCGCTAGGCCTCAGACTGGTGGAAGGGTCAGACGGATCTGGGGAAAATGCTCATGTTACCCAGAAATACCCAAGAAGGACGCCACATTCGCAGCAAAAGGTGAAACAGGAGCCAAAGGAAGGGATCCTTCAGTGCTGGGAAGCCCAGTGGCAGCAGTTCCTGAAGGAAGTGGAGTCTCCTCACTCGGCGTGGGGGGTCCCACAGTGGCCAGAGGAGCCCACCCCCTGGGACGACGCCAAGGCCTTCTTCGCCTCCTTTGAGCAAGTGGCCAAAGCCTGCCAGTGGCCCAAAGAGGAGTGGGTGGCTCGACTCCTGCCGGCCCTCAGCGGACAGGCCAAATGGGCTTTTGGCAGCTTGGAGGCCAGAGACAGAGAGGATTATGGGAAAGTGAAGGCGGCCATCTTGCGCGGGGACGCCATCAGCAGGGAGAAGCAGCGCCAGTACTTCCGGTGCTTCTGCTACCAGGAGGCTGACGGTCCGAGAGGGGCCTACAGCCACCTCCAGGAGCTCTGCCACCGCTGGCTGAAAGTGGAGAGGCACTCGAAGGAGCAGATCCTGGAGCTGCTGATCCTAGAGCAGTTCCTGACCATCCTGCCATTGGAGATCCAGAGCTGGGTCAGGGATTGCGGCCCAGACAGCTGTTCCCAGGCGGTGGCCCTGGCCCGAGGATTTCTACGGAGGCAGAAGGAAACAGAGAGATGGGAACAGCAGAAGGTGAGGAGTTCTAATCCAGGTGGAGGAACCTCAGGTACGGTGGGCCAGATACATCCCCCAGCTCCCCTCAGGACACTTCCCAGGCTACACCCCTAACCAGCTCTGCTTCAGACCCTCCTTGAGTGTTTATTGTCTGGCTGGGGTGAGAAGTAATAATAATATAATAATTTATTACTTATACCCCATCCATCTGGCCAGGTCTCCCCAGCCTCTCTGGGTGGCTCCCAACAGAATATTAAAGGTAAAGGTAAAGGTACCCCTGCCCGTACGGGCCAGTCTTGACAGACTCTGGGGTTGTGCGCCCATCTCACTCAAGAGGCCGGGGGCCAGCGCTGTCCGGAGACACTTCCGGGTCACGTGGCCAGCGTGACCGCTGCTCTGGCGAGCCAGAGGCGCACACGGAAACGCCGTTTACCTTCCCGCTAGTAAGCGGTCCCTATTTATCTACTTGCACCCGGGGGTGCTTTCGAACTGCTAGGTTGGCAGGCGCTGGGACCGAGCAACGGGAAGCGCATCCCCGCCGCGGGGGATTCGAGACCGCCGACCTTTCGATCGGCAAGCCCTAGGCGCTGAGGCTTTTACCCACAGCGCCACCCGTGTCCCTAACAGAATATTAAAAGCACAATAAAATGATAAACATTTAAAAAGCTCCCTAAACAGGGCGTGCCTTCAGATGTCTTCTAAAAGTCAGGTAGTTCTTTATTTCCTTGACATCTGATGGGAGGGCGTTCCACAGGGGCGTGTGCCACCTTACCGAGAAGGCCCTCTGCCTGGTTCCCTGTAACATGGCTTCTCGCAGCGAGGGAACCTCCAGAAGGCCCTTGGAGCTGGGACCTCAGTGTCCGAGGCAGAATGATGGAGCTGGAGATGTTCCTTCAGGTATACTGGGTCAGCACCAACACTTTGAATTGTGCTCGGAAACATACTGGGAGCCAATGTAGGGTCTTTCAGGACCGTGTGGTTATATGTCCCGGCGGCTGCTTCCAGTCCCCAGTCTTGCTGCTGCATTCGTGGATTAGTTGCAGTTACCGGGTCACCTTCAAAGGTAGCTCCATGTAGAGCGCAGGAGATAACCAGAGCAGGCACCACTCTGGCGAGACAGTCCGTGGGCAGGTTAGGGTCTCAGCCTACGTTACCAGATGGAGCTGGTAGACAGCTGTCCTGGGACACAGAATTGACCTGCACCTCCATGGACAGCTGTGAGTCCAGAATGACTCCCAGGCTGCGCACCTGGTCCTTCAGGGGCACAGTTACCCCATTCAGGACCAGGGAGTCCTCCACACCTGCCTGCCCCTGTCCCCCCAAAACAGTACCTCTGTCTTGTCAGGATTCAACCTCAATCTGTTAGCCACCATCCATCCTCCAACCACCTCCAGACACTCACAGAGGACTTTCATCGCCTTCACTGTTCTGATTTAAAAGAGAGGTAGAGTTGGGTATCATCTGCATACTGATGAACACCCAACCCAAACAGGATGCTGGACTAGATGGGCCATTGGCCTGATCCAGCAGGCTGTCCTGTGTCCTTAATGTCACTAAAGCATTGCGAGTTAGGTCCAGCCAGGAATTTGCAGATCTTTGGCTAAAACTGATTCATGTTTCTTGTT